ACCGGTGAGAAGTTAAACCCAATTTTTATTTACAGCGATTTTGAAATTCGCATGCGAATTTTTGATGGTTTCAATCTTTCCACTAGTAGAATTGCGCGCGGATTGAATTTTTTCATAATCTGCACATCTTTCGATACCTTTCAAACTGCATGTAGTGAAATTGTTTTAACTCTTCATTCCTAAATGTCTCTTCCTTTCAACATTCAAATTCTGTACACTTTCTGGTACTGTGCTTGAAGCGTTTGTAAATAATCTCAGTCCCTCGCTCAGCCTTACGTTTGCAAGCTTTTGAAGGCATCCATCCAATTTTTAGAATTTTGTGTTTCACGAGCATTTGTTTGCTATTCGCAAGCATGCCAACGTGGATTTTAATTGTGTGGGAACGTCAAAAGTTCCAAAACTCTTTTTGGATCGACTTGGAAAGGCTATTGCGGAACGAATTCCATGTCTGTCACCATCTTTCACGCTAGAGATTAGGTTGTAGCGCTTACTAACAGTATATCCAGATGTGCAATTATCTTGGGGGAGTGACAGCAATAACTTATTGCTAACTCAATCTTTGCCCTGAAACTGCTTTCGACTTTTGTGTGCACTAGGATTCCCTTGATATATGTTCCAAGCGTAGAAGCCTGCAAATTACTCAGTTTGCAAGGCACCACCATACACGTTTTTTGGACATTTGAAGACCCTGAAACTCTACAAAACTTGGATTAAGTGATTGGAGCATGCAAAAAAGCTTTTGAAAATCCTGTACGGCTAGAATATCAGTGGTTTGAGCAGCATAATTGTATTAAGGAAATCTGTACTTCATCACGTCGTTTTTCGCGAGAAGTTTCATCTCAAAATGATTTGCGTCTGTTCGATAGTGTTAAGGTAGAGCTTGATGAGCAGTATGAGGCTCAACGAAGAGCAGCAGGTTTGGTTTGACCATTTTCACCCTCGGCTTTTTGTAGCCATCTTCGATGTATTACAGAGCTGGATGATGACATCTGCTTGTCTAAATCGCTCTCTGGTATCGTGGCTGTCCTCTTCGCCACCGTATTGGTAGCTTTCATTAGCTCATCGTTTCTTGCCATGTCTTTCTACTTGAGACTTTCTGATCGGACGAAACAAACTATCTATGCACATTGACTATAGAACGAATTTTTATCTAGTGCTTTGTCTCAGGTAGTGCTGCTTTGGTTTGATCTATTAGCGACAGATACTTTGTGATCGGACTCTGTTTTGTATGATTTTTAAGGAACCGGTGCATTTTTTTCTGTAAATTGATGAAAACTCCGTTTTCATCAAATTTTAATCGTATCGCCAGGTGTCTCTGGCATAGCCTTCAGATTCTATTCAGTGTCTTTGTTATGTTGTACAGGATAAAGAATTCTTTTCTATAGTAATTAGTGTCTGCCACTAGTTTCAGCCATTATTTATCTTTTAAAGAAACGATTGTGGGAGGAGTGGTAACCAGTTACAAATTAACAGAAGAACTATGTTCAGCATGTCTATCATAGGGTTAGACGAGAACTAGTCCCGGAACTGCCCATTTTTAGGTCACTTTAAAAATTCTTTTTGTCGAACTGCAGTACTTGGAAATGCTAATCTATCTCAGGAACATCTTGGCTTGGACAAATTCTGAAAAATCAGGATCTTTTCAAAGCAATGTGGTTTTATCACCTACAAGGTAAGACATTAGCTGTACGATAGGAGCAAAAGCTGTCACATCACAGTGTAGTTTTGACCCAATGTTATCTCATACGTCAAAAACAGGGAATCCTTGTAAGGTTAGGCGGTGATTATAAGCATTGCCTGACTAACCCCTGCAGGTAGCTTCTTTCAAAGTTCTGCCTAAAGACCTTTAAAAAATTGTTCTTCTTTCAAGATGTTGACTCTTAATCCTAATCTCATCGCGGATGGCACTTAGAAATACAAAGAGAAAGGTTCGAAGGTTTCAAACTTAGCGTTGGCATGCTCTAGAGACACTCAGGATAGACCTAAATCGTTATGGCATCAAGATTTTAGCAACTGATAGCTTTTCGGTCATATGAGTACTTAAAAAAGAAATCAGTCTAGTACTGGTCTCTTATCTTGCTAGCTTATGAGAGCTGACACAGGCTTGACGCTGCACTTTCATAGATCTCCAAAGATCATCGATGACTTATCCACTTAAAGCTAGTAGCTGCCATGTTTGTTTCCGACTCAGAATGCTTCAAGAATGCAAATTCTTTGACCATCTTTGGCAGATCAATTCTTCGACATTTCCTATCTTCCGCTTCTCTCCGCAAATATTTGAAATGCTCTTGAAAAGCGCATTCAATGAGAATTAGATGTGATTAGGTGGTACACCAACATATGGACTGTCTTGTGCATTTTTTTCGAAAGCATACAAGAGTTTAACAGTTTAGTTTGAAATTCCACTCTTTTTTTTGGAGGGCCCGTCTTTGGATTTAGGCCAAACCTCGACGGTAGAGCTTTACGAGCATGATTTGCCTGAGAACGCTGAAAGTTTTTATTCCGCAGGAAAAGAGGAGGCGATGGTGCGAACTTGAGATGTGATAATTGTTGCCAATTTACTTTCCTCGTTACTTCATAAGAAGTTTTGAACTTTAAGATGATGGCTCCCCACTTCTGACTTGAACATCATAGATGTAAGTTTACCATTTAACAACCCATGTTTGACTCGTACTCTACCCATGAACATGCAATTCAAATACATCACCAAGCATAGTAAATATCTTCGCAGTCGACTTTCAAATCTGGTACAGTAGTGCTGAGACGTTTCTGTAACTCGATATGCGCTTTATCCTGGAAAGTGTAGTAATGCGAATGAATGACACATTATGTGCTTGCAGAGCTTACCTGAAGGAACTGAAGTCCTCTCAAGGTACATTGCCCAGCAACTTCCAATTTTTTGATAAAAGGCTTCCTTCGCTTCACCACCTTTTTTACCTTAATGTTTCAGTATTGGGATGAAATTAAGATAATAAGTCAGCCTTCAGTAATAACTCATTGTATTAATTTTTGAGCACATTATCAATTCAATTAATAATGATGGTTGAAAAAAGTATGTTTAAAGAATGACTTTGCCGGAAGCCGGCCTCTACTGGTTTTCTGTTGTTGCGCTTCTAAACAATGAATATATTTCCTCACGAAGCAAGGCACTTCTCAAGAGCGACTTAGACATTACAAAAAAAAATGAAAATAGAGAAATAAAATTGAAATTGCATTTTTTAGAGAGTTTTACGAAAAACTCACCGTTTTCTTTGTCCCATCGTTCTTCTCCAATTCAATACCAGCAACAGTTTTGCTCCTCTTAACCGTCGTTGCTTTCTTACCATCTGTTGTCACCCTCTGGAAAAGCGCAAAATTACCTCATCAGTCCTTAAGGCGCTTACCTCATGGGAGTAAGCAAACAAACCTGCTTAGCAGTCATCTGTATGCTCCTTATAAGGTCATCTACTGAATCAATCGTACAACTGCTTATCCTTAGGGTGTCAATTGGATAAGCACTGATAGGAGTAGCCCCGTTGACCACTAGCGTCCAGTCTCTAAGCTCATAGAAATGCGAAAACTGGTCCCAATCGATAACATGGGAAATCAAAATAAAAGGAAATCTTGTTTTATTAAGATAACATCGAAGTATAGTGGGAGAATAAAGAAGTAGTTTTGCAAAATGTTAGAGCTGAGCCAGTTCTTTTCTTGAAACAAACCCACCTTAGCGCAATATTTTTTGCAAGCAACTCTCTCTTTTGCATAATTTCGTAAATCTGCTGCA